ACTTTTACCAAGTTCTAGAGGCTTTGGCTGCCTCCCTCAGGATCAAATCTATTCGTTTACAATGTTATCTGGATGATATTTTAATTTTGTCATCTTCCAGACATCAAGCAAATTTGGATACCAAGATTACTCTGGAGACCCTTCAAGGTCATGGCTTTTCCATAAATTGGGATAAAAGCCATTTGATCCCCTCAACTAGGTTAGTTCATTTAGGGGCAGTGATAGATACCGTGGAGGGCAAGGTTTTTCTCTCTCAGGACAGGTTGAATAGTATCCAGTCTTTGGCCAGAGAGATCAGAGCCTTAAAGAGGGTTTCCCTGGCAGTTCTGTCTCAACTGTTAGGGAAACTGATTTCTTGTATTTCCATTGTGCCTTGGGCTCGATTCCATTCTAGAGATCTGCAATGGTTCCTGCTACCTTTCCAGCGATCCGGAAGAGCCACTTCCAACGTCCGGATGAAGGTACCGCACAATGTTCTCCGATCGCTCCGCTGGTGGTCGGAAAACACAATAAACAAGGGGTGTCCTTTCAAGGAACCTTGCAGGGCAACGATCACAACCGATGCCAGCCTGGTAGGATGGGGAGGTCATTTCCAATCCCACACTGCACAGGGAAGTTGAACTGTTTCCGAACAATCACAAAGCATCAACCTGTTGGAGCTGCGAGCAGTTCATCTGGCATTTTCTACCCCTTTTCCAATCACGCCAGTTCTGGTCTTGACAGACAATATCACAACCAAGGCCCACGTAAACAGACAGGGGGGTACCCACTCCAAACTTCTGATGCTGGAGACAGCCAGGTTGTACAAGTGGGCCGAGGCCAATCTGTTTTCGTTCAAGGCAGAGCACATAGCAGGGGCCTTAAACACACAAGCGGACTGGCTCAGCAGGGCCACGATAGATCAGACAGAGTGGCGCCTACACCCGTCTTTCTTCCAGGAAGCAGTGCGGAGGTTTGGGCAACCGGTGATCGATCTATTTGCCTCTCCCCTCAACGCCCAATTGCCCCGGTATATTTCAAGGTACCTGACTCAGGGGCCGGAGGCCGTCAATGCCCTGCGATGTCAGTGGCCTCCCGGACTTCTATATGCGTTTCCTCCACTCCCTGTAATACCCAGGTTGATCCAGAAGTTATTGGAGGAACGAGCGGAATTGATATTGGTCGCCCCTTACTGGCCCAAGCGAACGTGGTTCGTGGACTTACAGGACCTGTCGAGAGAACAACCTTGGAAAATTCCACCATCGAGGGTTTCCCTCTCGCAAGGGCCGGTACTTCACCCGGACCCACAATGGTTCAGCCTAGCTGTATGGAAGTTGAGCGGAGCCGTTTAAGGACCCAACAGATTTCAGAGGATGCCATTGCCACCATGCAAGCATCCAGACGGTCCTCAAAAAATCGTATATACGAGGCCACGTGGTCCGCTTTCTGTCGCTGGTAGCGGGGGTTTAAGATCGACTCAACCGCCCCATCAATAGGACAATTGTTGGACTTTTTACAGGAGGGGTTGACCAAGGGCCTATCTCCAAATACTTTACACAGACAGGTGGCAGCCTTAGCCTCGGTGATATCCTGGGGTGACCTTTGTTCTATAGCGCACCATCCACATGTCCGCAGCTTTCTTAAGGGTGCTGCAAACTTGCAACCTCCTGTAATTCACCGCTATCCCACTTGGGAGCTCAACAAGGTGTTAACCGCACTTACAACTGGCCCATTCGAGCCTTTAAGAACTGCTAGTCTCAAATTCCTAACATATAAGGTGGTCTTCTTAATTGCGATCACATCAGCAAGGAGGATTTCCGAATTGGCAGCATTGTCGATGAGAAAGGACCTGTGCGTGTTTCATGCGGACAGAGTGGTTCTCAGATTGGATCCATCGTTCACCCCTAAAGTAAATTCAGTCTTCCACAGAGCGCAGGAGTTGGTGCTTCCAAATTTTTGTCCGAAACCATCTCATAGATTGGAGCATCAATGGCATCGACTGGACGTTTGAAGGGCGTTATGCATCTATCTAGACTGCACAGCGGCATTTCGAAAATCTGAGGCTCTATTCCTATCCATCCACTTTAGGACACAAGGTGTCGTCGACGACCATTGGTAGATGGTTGAGAGCCACCATAGCTAAAAGTTACGAATACAGTCCATCTCAGTTCTTAAGGGCATTACAGCCCACTCAATAAGGAGTGCGACAACATCAGCAGCATGGGCCACACGAGCTTCCATAGACGAAATTTGCAGAGCAGCAACTTGGGCTTCACCATCGCCCTTTGTCAGAAATTATAAAATTGATGTCTATGCCTCAGTGGACTCTTCATTTGGCAGAAGAGTCCTGCAAGGGTCCACAGAGTTTAGGAGTGGATTTCGATCCAGACAGAGTCCCTCCCTAAGGACAGGCCAAGCTTTGGTATGTCCCACTCTGGATGCTCTGAACAGCTCATGGGAGAAAGGGCGTTGGTACTTACTTGATACGCCCGTTCTCTGTGAGCTGTGAAGAGCATCCAGCCCCACCCATTTCTTTCTGTCTGGTGGGGTTCCGTTCCAGTCAGGGATCTAGATTAGGTGATGAGTTCCGGACTTTGGCACTCAGTCTTTGCAAAACTGGGGGACGCTGGGGAGGTGTCCCGTGGAGGAGGAGGAGCGTCCCGGAGTTTTAAGCCCAGCCTTTCCAGAAGAAACTGAAGCACCTCCCACTTCTGGATGCTCAGGGCTTGGTAATATCAGCAAGTATACAGGTGAAACACAAAAAAGGGCGTTGGTACTTAACTGATACGCCTGTTCTCTGTGAGCTGTGAAGAGCATCCAGAAGTGGGAGGTGCTTCAGTCTCTTCTGGAAAAGGCTGGGCTTAAAACATAGTTGGTTTTAGAGTAATTGTTTTAACCATGATATCGATGTTGGGGGGGAAATCTAATCTCATACTTGACTTCAGTAAGATTTGAAATATAATTAATAATGTGCATGGGAGAGAACAAAAATTTGATCTATAGGAGACAACATTTATTTATCAGTTACAAGATTTGGATAATGTAATGGGAAGAGAATTGTTAAAAGAAGAAGTACCACGTAGATGTATTATAATAGGGAATGAAACCTGCAAGTAGTAAGTAGACACACACAAAGTTGGAGAAACCAGAAGTAAGTAAATTCTTATTTTTTAAAAAAATGGAAGTGTTTGGAGGATTATTAGTGAAAATTATTCTTATTTTGTTTCCAATATATATGTCCACTATTTGGGCGGAAGTGAAAATAACAGAAGGAAGAAGTTGCAAACAGCTTTTAAATAGTAGCAGAAAGTTCATTCAGATGAGGCTTTTTCTTTCAAGCTCAATACATTTAGTTGTTTATACTGTTTAGTTAATCTTTTTTAAGTATTGTACTAATGGACTATTATGCATTCTCTCAGTGTCAGCATTATGGATGGTCACTAGTGATAGAATACATGGATCAAATATTTTATTTCAGTTATCAGCCAGCATTACATAATCAACCCAACAACTTGATTAGAGCTAAATAGCTCAATCCAGAAACCCTGGGCTTCAATATGAATTCATTCAGATAATAGAATAGTGGAATATATGAATTTTAGAACTTTTTACCAATGAATTCAATAGAAATTTCGCATTCACAGGGCAGGCAACTAGCAATGTCAAAATGGCAGGTGTCATTTGGCAATTAAAGCCCCACCCTTTAAAGTCTTTGTTGTACAGACTTTCAGTACCCAATCATAACTATCATTTGGTGTTGTCATCTCTGCAGAGGTCTCTGTATCAATTCCTGCTTGGTTGAAAAATACTTGCTCATTCAAACAGCAATACTGACTTCTAATATATAGAGCACTACTTATGAATTATAATATCCTCAAAATGAAAATGAATTCAGTCATTCTGAGAATGTTCCTCATATAACTAGCACCATGAAAGAGAAATTATTTGAAAATATATAGGATTGGGATAGTGAGATTCCTCAGAGATGAAGAAGACACTATAGCCTCCAACATAGGGCTGAAAAAATTTCAGTAACCACTAGATAGTAGCAAAGGGGTAGTTGTTCCTGTAGCCATTTAATGTCATCCAGATATTTTCAGTCCATATCTAGTAGCATTACATTCATTACCTTTACCTTTGAAAAACCTGCTCAGAGCTATTTACAGGTAGTCCTCGACTTAACCAAATATGGATGCTTGGTGACTGCCATGTATTTATGGCAGTTGCAGTGTCCTGGGATCATGTGACCATCTTTTGTGACCTTCTGACAAGCAAAGTCAATGGGGAAGCCAGATTCATCTAACAACTGTGTTACTAACTTAACAACTGTAGAAATTTCACTTAATTGAGGCAAAATTCATTTAACAACTAAAATGGTGTTAACTTTAAAGGGTGGCCCCAGAATTATAAATTCTTATAAAAGTTTTGGCAGTTCTTTTGCTCTTTTCTTTACTGGTGTCTGATTCATTAACACAATTAATGATAAAGTTTGTTAGATTTTTCAACCAGCTAATCTTCAGACTCTTTGTAGAAAGTGTGTTGGATTCGTTTCAAACTCATAATTATTAATGTATGTTTTGCAGATAAGCTCAGAGACATTTTTTCTCTCACAAGAGCAGCCTAATTTGTTTGGAATTCTGATTTTGTAAGATTGAGCTATTTTATAAGATTGTGCTGTTATACTTGTTCGATAAACTATAGTAACCATCTAAATGGCTTAATAAATAAATAACAGAACAAAATCCATTTGAACTAATTATTGAACAATGTTGGAAAATGGGATCATATATACTGAAAGATATCCAATTTCTATGTTATATTGTAATGATATGGAAATAATAATAGATGTCAAAGAACAAATGAAAGAACTCAGAAATAAGAACATCTCCAAAATGCAGAATATTATCACATATTTTCTTTAAAGTGATTCCAATAAAAGTTAATTAATACATCATAACTTTTATTCTTTTGGTATTGCAATAAGTCTATATTATTTTAAAACTTGTGTATCTTTTTTTAAGGAATTCAAAATGTCCTGAATCTATTCTGTGCAGTTCTTACAGAAAACAAAGTCCTTTTTCATTCTGCTAGTTTCCAAAGACTAAGTGATGCCTGTAGAGCATTAGAATCCTTAATGTTTCCTCTCAAATACAGGTAAGATTTTTTTATAATGAGTGTACCAAATCTTTATCAATGTGGACTATCTTATTTGCCATTCCTTTTCAGCTAGGACTCCCAAAATCCAGGACTTTTAAGACATATTGCAAAACAGTACATCATACATGTATAGTACATCACACACACATCCATTCGTGTTTCACTATCTGACTTGTTTTATTTTAATTCAAAATTTAAAACAATCCCTTTTAATAGTTTAAACAATATAGTCAAAAGATAAACAGGTAGATGCAAGTATTTCATATTGAGTCATCAGTACCTTCATTACAATAACACAGTTGAAAATCAGCCTCAAATATAAGATCAATAACCATGTTATTGTAATGTAGGTACTGATGAGTCAATACGAAATGCTTGCATCTACCTCTGTCTTTCAACTCTTATTGTTTAAATTATTTTAATTTGTTTGAAGTACAAGTCAAAGGGCCTTCACAGAAATGTTAAGTTTCAACATGAGGGCTGCAATGTCTTTTTAAATACGTTGTTTTTAAAAATGTCCTCAACCAGACTTTTAGTGTATAAACATAACACTGTTCTTTACATTATAGAGGTTATAAATGCAGCTATATTTATTTGATTTCTGAAACGGCTGAACCTTCAGTACAGTCAAGCTGTGTGATGTGCCAAGTAGTTTGGCTGCTTCTCTTTCCAATCTTAAAAGTCCTTATTTAAGGCCATTGATTTTGTGACACATGCTAAAGGCTTCACATACAAAAGTGAGATTCAAGGCCCAATTACAGCAGCATAATGTTTAATTCCACTGCCAATAGCTAAGCCACCTGTCAATTATAGAAAAGAAACAAGCTCATGGATATTTTCTGCCCAATTTATTGATCCTAGTGACAAGTTCAAACATTCATGATTATCCTGAAAAACATAAAATGCACAAGCTCAGTATGTATATTCAATCATAGCCTTGGAGTTTTCAGCACCTCAAAGACAACTGAAACCAACCTCAAGTAATATGGTTACTCCCTATGTGTGTAATAATTTACCCATTATTTTACAATAAAAGATTTTGACAGGCTGATGGAGGTCATGTTATTGGCTTAATTCCAGATATGATGTTCAAACTTTATATGAAGGTCCCTAGAAAGGAGGTAGGGAGGAAGGAGGCAGTGGGGTGCCATCTGAATACAATTTTGCAATTCTTCCTACCTGGATAAGCTTAAATTAATCATTTTATTTAATATATATTTATGCTATTGAAATAATTTCTGTATATAGAGCTATTTCACATATATTTTATTGTTGCCAGCAAAGTACAGATAAAAACAGCTCTATTTCAGCTATTTTAACTAATTATTCTTGTTTAAATATAGATTACAGTTCTTGCTTATCTGTAACTGTTTTAGATAAATAATGTTTGTCTTGGAAAAATCTAATTTTAAGTATATTATCTCAATCAATAGTTCTCTACATATGTTGTATTCAGCCTCCATTAATTTTAAAGATTATATTTCAGTCATACAGTTGAGAAAACTCTAGATAGAAAATGCAGTGAAATGTATTTTTTGATATTTTGTTAACCAGAAACTAGAAAATTAAGTTATTTTTGAAAACATTCTACTTATTAAGCAAGAAAATATTTTTCAAAAAAATCTAGTCAATGTATTTTTGCTGATATAATGGAATTAGTAGAAAGAAATGTAAAGTTTCATGTTTAATGAAGTAGAATGGCTGCATTATTTGTCCTTCCTTTTCTTCTCAGTTACCCATACATTCCAATTTTACCTGCACAACTCTTGGAGGTTCTAAGTTCACCAACACCTTTTATTATTGGCGTACATTCTATCTTCCGTAATGATATTCATGAACTTGTGAGTATCTTAAGCTGGATTTTATGCCTGATAAAAAAAACTTCATCTAAAATTAAATAATTATACTCAAATGGGAGATTTTCTTACATTCCTTTCATCTATACTGTGCATCACAAAATCTTAACTAATTGCCCATTATGCTCCCAATCATTTGTGGTTGGGCTCTCATGGGGGGAAAAGGCCCATTAGGAGTAGTCATTGATTGATTGATTAAATTTCTATGTTGCCCAGCTCTCTGATATAGGAATTCTTAGTGAATCCAGAGAGATTGCGTGGTGAAAAATATTAGTACATGGCAGCTAAACTGTACAAACGTATTAGTAGCAAGCAATATCCAGAAATTGTTACGTATCTCAAAAATATGAAATGAATATAATGGAGGAAAAGTAGAAACTTTGGCAAGGAAAAAAATCATTTGGAAAGTATAGTCATAATGTGATTTACCAAGATCAGTATTTGAGTCTTTTGATTTTGAATGACTTCTGAAATTTTCTATGAGCAGTATAAGAGTAGCACTGAGTAGTAATGAGTTTTAGAAAAAGTAGTCAAGTCTAGTAGTGCTTGTTCTAGTGGAGTCCTTATTGAAAGGGAAAGGTGAACCAGTGACATTTGATGATATTTGAAAATTTAATTTGAAAAATTTTCAGTTTATATGGTGAGTTGGATCCAGACTTACAAATAAATACATTTTGTCATCAATTCCCATTTCTCAGTTTGTGTTCCTTCTTCTTCATGCAGAATCTGAAACTGACTTGAAAATAGCATGAAAAATGGCTCTGGTGAGCCAAAGATAATTAGGGAAAAACCTGGATTGATCTTGCTCTTTCCTTTCAATACAAGGAGCTCTTTCTTTAACAAAAGGGCTATCTAAAGTTAACACTGCAGTGAGATCTGCTATGCAAAATGACTATACATACAACTTGGTTACTCAAAACATTTGAGACATCAGTCAGGATATTTTAACAATTCCAACCAAAATTTGATTTAAAATCAGAACTTTATATTTCCATAAATTCAGTCCCTCCCTATTTCTCAATGGGTATTCCATATTTTTTGGTTTATTGACATTTCAGTATTCTATCAATTTTTAATGATATTAAATATCACACAAAGTGTTTATTTCTATCTCTGTGTCTTCTAGTTAGATGTAATCATAGCAGACCTAGATGGTGGTACAATTAAAATTCCTGAATGTATTCACCTCTCCCAGCTTCCAGAACCACTGCTTCAGCAGACTCAAACTTCTCTATCTCTAGTAAGTATAATTCCATGAAGTTGTTCTGACCCAAGCCTTGTTCAAATTAAACAGATATAAACTGTGTATAAAAACAAAAAATTTTTAATGCGGCGCTGGGAATTTCAGTGCATTCCCAGCCAAGAAACATTTAAACCTAATTGTCCGAAATCAGAAGCAAGCCCTTTCAAGGTTGCAAAAAGCTGCGAAGAACAGAAGACTAATTACTGATTAAATATCTACCGACAGAAGTTTCGAAAACAAACTGGAGTAAGCAGGGCTTCAACGAGGACTATTAGTGTAAAGAACTTCTTTGCTTCCTGCAAAGAACAAATCCCCAAGGGCTGGTTTTTATCCCTTATGGGAGGGGCCATCACCTTCCAGCCTTACTCCTGAGTCGCCCTTACTGCTTCAGCTGCTCTTTCCTTTGAGCAGCCCTGCACGCTCGTGCACTGGGCACATGCTCTCCGGGGTCCTCTGCATCACTGCTGCCTCAAGCTCTGAAGGCAGCACTCCACTCTCCAATAGTCCTGGCCCCATCCCTGCATCACACACAGGCACCTCGTCCAAGTCCTCGCTATCAGAGACCTCTGCCGTCTGCACCTGCTGTTGGCGAACCACAACAGATCTAAACATTCATCCACCCACATTGTTTGCAGATAGCTGACAGCTTTGTTTAGGGTGACCACAGCCCTCTCCAGTAGAAGGGACTCTGAAGTGCATCAACAGGGCTATGCAGAAGATTTTGCAAAGCATCTGTGGAATGAAATTGCTCAGATTTGCTCCCAATTAAATACTAGCTTTAGTTTAGTTCCTATGGAGGTGCATAGGTACAGTCTTGTCAAGGAGTTGAACTTGTTGTATCTGAAGAAGCAGATAGGGTTCTCATGACTGTTAGCTCAGCCACTGCCTATTAGACCCATGCCCCTCCTGATTGATGAAGACTCCTTGGAAGTGACTTACAATTAGTTTTTAGCAATGGTAAATTCTTCTTTGTGACAGGCAGTGGTTCCTCTGCCCCTCCTCAAGAAGCCATTACTGGACCCAACTACACTGGACATTTTTTGTCCAGTACCCAATCTTCCCTTTTTAAACAAGGTTGTTGGAAAGATGATTGCACAACAGCTTTAGAGGACCTTGAATGAAGTGGATTATCTGGTATGGGACTGAACTACGATGGTCAAACTTTTAGATGACCTCTGGCAGGTGAAAGATTGGGCTATTGCATCAATCCTTATTTTATTTGAACCGTTAGTACCCCTCAATACCATCAATCCAGCTCCAGGGACTTGAGGTGGACAGCACTGTATGGTAGTAGTTCTCTTCCTTCTTTTGGGGCTGGACAGGGTTGATCAGGAAGCAAGAGCTCCCACTCTCTACCACTATTATGTGGGATGCAACAGCGTTCAATACTTTCTCCACTCCTGTTTAATATCTACACTATGGACACTGTAGGTAGTCATCTGTGGCCATGAGATTAGATATTAGCAGTATACTGAAGATAACCTAATTGTACATCTTTGCCCTGGCAATTAAGCAAATGTCTTATTGTGGTACTTGGAAACTCTGACCGTTTGGATGAGAAATAACAGACTTCAACTCAAACTTGTCAAGCTTGAGAAATCTGGAAATTTACCATCTTTAATTCTGGATGTGGTGGCACTGTCTCAGACAGACCCAGTGTACAATCTGGAGGTCCTTCTAGACTCATAACTCCTCTTTGAAGAGCAGGTGACAATCATAGCTAGAAGAATCATTGCATAACTTTGGGTTGTGTGTCAGTTGTGCCCATTACTGAACTGGGAGGCCCTAGACTTTGTCACCCATGCCTGTTCTCCTTCTGTATGGATTATTGTAATGTACCCTATATGGCAGTGCCTTTGAAGGGTATCTGGAAGCTTCACCTGATGCAGGTTTATGGCATGAACCATTATGTATGCATCAAGATCATTGCACATTATACCTTTGCTCCACAAGCTGCATTGACTACCAGTTTGCTTCTGAGTTCAAGATACTGGTGATGATCTATACAGCTTTACAGGGCTAGGGTATTTGAGGGACCACCATAATGTAATTACATCATCAGATCTAGCAGAAAGGTATGTTGTGGGTCCTGTCTATCAAAGGAATGTTATCGGATGGAACCCAAGAGGTGAGCTTTTTTTGCCCTAGAGCCCACCATTTGGAATATCATCCCCTTTGAGGAGAGACTGGTCCCAATCTTGTTACCTTCTGGAAGAATCTAATGACTTTGGTATCTAGCCTAGGTAGTTGGTGACATTGGTACAGAGTCTGCTAAGTGATTGTACTGTTAGGAAAATGAATGGTGCTGTCTCACTGATTATGTTTTTTATGTTTTTAATAATTTTATAAGCCTTTATTGATTTTAATGATTTTCACAATTATTTTTATTTTTTTGGATTATTAACTTTGTAAGTTGTCCAGAATCACAGCAGTGATATGGGCAGCTATATAAATTTAAGAAAAAAGTAAAAATAACCAGTTCAAACCACACCCATATACCAGTCCACACCTTACCATTTTTTTAGCATTCATTCAACATATATGACTTTTTATTGGTTTTATTCTTTGGCACCAACATTTATAGTATATAGTTCCAATCTGAACTGACATATAACTAATTCCCTTAATCAGTAAGATCTTCTAGCATTCCCTCACCTTAGTTTCATACCAAATTTTGTTGTTTTTATATTTAACTAGAGAACCTATGATCTGTTGGGCTATTCTTTGAGAGAAAGATAGTATGGTCTTTTGTGACCAGAATAAACATTAACATTTCCCACTGGATTTTTGTTCTCTCCCTCCTCCTTGCCACTTCTCGGTGACACTTGATGTCATTTCTTGACCATGATGTTTCCCTTCCCTTCCCCCTTTCCACACTGCAGTTAGGCTGACCATATTCTTGCTGGACAGGCCCATTATCAGTATCTAAATCATGTTGATGGCAGGGATACTGCAGTGACTAGAACATTGAGAATAAACTGGCCAGAATATGGTAGTAATTTCAATGCCACAAGAATAACATGTCCTGGATTTTTTATGCATTCTTTAAGATTTGAAGTACCTTGATTACAAAATGTTGTGGTATAATGCACAAGGAATAGGAGCGACTTCTGATTTCATGCCAGTTTCCCCGTTGTCTTTGCCTGTGGGAATCTGTCGGGAAGCATCGGAGATCATAATCATGCAATTGCAGAGATGTTGCGGCAACCGCAACTTAGCAAATAAAATTGGTGTGAACGTCATGGAAATTTCAATTTGAATGAAGTAGTGGTTAATAAAGAAGTAATAAAGATATTTTATGCATTGTTTAAGTTAGTGCATTTAAGATACTTTGATTCAAAAATTGCTCTGATATAATGTATCATTTGGAGAGTACAAACAGGAGAGTTTTAATGGTATATAGATTCCATTCATTCTGGTGTTCATCAGCTTTCATTCATTTTAAAATTCATTTTAACTGCTCCTTGTTCTCATTGGTTACATTACTATTATTAGTTTTTTATCCCTTCCTGTGTTTATATTTATACACACACACACATACACCTCTATATGCACTTATAGTCAACTCAAGACAGTGAACATACCTAATTTTCCTGACCTCTATATTATTTACATCTTTCTTCTTGTGTACATGTGCATTGTATAATACCTTCGTCCACTTCATTTTTCAGCAATTTTTCTATAATCTATCTTTTTCGTATCTACAGTCTCTTTCACTTCATCATGCCATCAAGTATCCTTTCTGGTAATAACTTTTAGCATAATTTCACATAGTTGTGCCATTCTTTAACATAATTCTTTTCACTCTAAGTAGCCTCAACAACTTTTTTTCTGTTTGCTTTTCATTCATTCCAGTAGGAAATTAAACTACTGTCTAATTATCTACTAATTATTACATTTTATGTTTAATTTTGTTTTTTCTTTAAAAAATATAGTTGGCTATTAAGACCATATTCTTTATTCCTTCCTATCTTCCTTGCTTTTCATTATCTTTTTCTCCTCCTTTTGATTCACTTTAGCAAAAAAAGCATTAGAAATTAAATGAAATTAATTAAAATAAATTAGTTAAAAATGCATTTAATTGTTGCCATGAAAAGAAATTGGACCAATACAGACCAATCATAATTAAAAGCTCTTCTGTATGATTTCTGAGAAGGTTTACAGTAAAGGGATCCTTTTTTGTATAATGTTGATTATTCAATCTGTTTCATTTTTTTCCCTTTCAAGTTTAAAATCACAGTTAGCTGCTTTGAGTTATGAATATTTCCTAGCTGACTTAAAATTTGTTTCTTAGAATTAGACTGAAATAATAAGGATACAAGAATGCAAACATTTGTTAAATTTTAATATGAAATTTAAATGTGGTACAATTTACATTTAAAATATAAAAAATATTTTAAAAACAAATCAAAACCACTTTCTTTTAAATTTTGTTCTTGAAATTGTAGGTTTTATATCCAGATTTGGCAACAGCAGATTATGCATTTCCTCCACCTCGAACCGCTCTGTCACATTCCAGAATGTTGGTAAGACACAATGTTCCCAATGCTGAAATAAACAGGAAAATATAATGTATTTTCATTTCTGTATTTTCCCCAAATACTTTTACTTTATGCCATCAAAGATGCTGATCTAGGAATTATTGCTGGAGCTGATAGGAAAGTGTTAATTCTACTTCTAGCTAGAAAACAAACCTTAAGATGTTCCCTGTTCCATACAAAAAAACAACAACACCCTCAATCAATTCATGTGTCTTATAGGTTTAATTAGTGGCTTTCCCATTGGCTTCCCCCAAAAAGAAACCATAACAGAGGTTGGGAATTGAGAAAGGAATAGGATCCAACCTATGACTCTGAAAGATTGCAGTTGAAAGGCCCCAAAGAAACAAGCTCAGTTATCTAAGTCACAAGGCTAAGGCTTGAATCATGAAGTAATGGCCTTCAGAGGCAGCTAAGCAAAATGAAGGAAGCAGACAGAAGCTTCTCTGAAAGTGTCCCAGATCCCTTTTCCTAGTGCTAGACAAGGCATCACAAAGCACCAAAAATAGTGATTCTTTAGCAACCAGGCAAGAAACAGGTGATACCACCAATGGTATAAACTTCCTATGGCTGGACAGATCAGGGAAGCTGACAAATGCAGCAACAGTACCCAACTTATCAGGGAGATGGAAGCTGGATCTCTCTGTACTTTATTGAACGAATGGCATTAGAAGAATCAGTGAACACCAGACATGATGGTATATTCAAGTTGTGAGGGAAATCCCAGTGTAAGCCAGTCTAGCAATGTCCAAGATGGTAATAATTAAAGAGCTAGAGGAAGATCATGCTTCATTTGCACCTAATCTACCCTCATAACATGGAAATCCCAGTCAGCCTTCCACCCCAAGTGAGGCAATTTTCAAAGCTGAGTTAAAGCATCTTATGAGGAGCAAAGGGTACTTTGAGTGAGAAAAGAAGGAAAGGGAGGGAGTCATATTCAGGCCTATTTGAAAATCTGTTTTTTCCCACATCCCCAATGACGTTAGGAGCTGTGATGGAATAGTGACTAGAATGCAGTATTGCAATTTAACTCTGCCACAACAAGGAGTTTGATCCTGACTAGCTCAAGATTGACTCAATCTGCCATCCTTCCAAGGTTGGTAAAATGAGGACCCAGATTATTGGGGGCAATATGTTGACATTTGTAAACCCCTCAGAGAGTGCTGTAAAGCACTGTGGAGCAGTATATACGTAAGCCTAAGTGCAATGGCTACTGCTATTATAGAAAGGAATCTTAAGTTTGCCTCAAGAGCACTCTCTTCAAGTTTCAAAAATCTATAAAGCAGATCTTGGCATCCAGGAGGCCAACCTTTATTACGGTGATGGGTTTTCTGGACATGATGATTAGGACATAAGAACAGCTCCCATGGGACTGTTTTTACTTGAGACAACTTCAGTGGCTTCTTTTTCACTTCCAAGGACAAAATCTAGTAGAAAAAAAAACATGGAACACACCTAGCTACCAGCATTCACTACCAGCATCACAGCACATTTGGTGGGAGTTCAACATAAAACAAAGGAAGAAAGGAAATAGACCAAGAAATGAATGGGGAAGCTATAAAATAAGCCTGAGGGAAGTATTTGAGAAAAATTAATAGAGAATATACAAAGTAGTGGTAAGATATGAAATTAAATATGAAAGATGAATATGCAACTGAGATTATATCTGTATGGAGATGTGAAAACCTGGAACTATGCTGTTCACTAAAAAAAGATGTTCTACTTTTGTTTTGTGAAAACTCAAATAAAATTTTATTTAAAAAAACATAAAACAAAGGAAGATTACATATGTAAAGGGGCAACCAGAGTGGAATATCTACTTATAGTTAAATGTAAAAGCAATAGCACTTAGACTTATATACTGCTTCACAGTGCTTTATAACCCTCTCTAAGTGGTTTACAGAGTTAGCATATTGCCCTCAGAAATCTGGGTCCTCATTTTACTCCCCTTGACAGGATATTTGCCTCTATAGATTCTGTATTTGGCCAAACAGTATTACAAAGACTTTACATTAAGCCACCCTGGGAATAAAGCTATAGAATATCCCTTTTCTTGCTGGCTCCAGTATTGGTAATTAAGAACAATAGTTAGACTTACTTTGAAATATCTTTCTGATAATTGAAGATGTATCCGGAGTTCTCTTTTGAATGGAAAAAGTCCTTAGAAATGTCAGATACTTCACCAAGTAATAATATTATACATTTGTTTTTCCATTTCCCATGTGTTTTTTGTCAGTGGTAACTTTTGTTACAATGAAATCCTTGTAGAAAGAAGAAACTGAACTATACTTAGCTAATAACACAAGGATAATAACACAGTGTTTCCTCTACAGGATTCAAAGAAGTACTGATAATCCTCAACTTACAACAGTTCATTTAGTAACTATTTGAAATTACAATGGCACTGAAAAAAGTAACTCATGACTGTTTCACTCTTACAATCATTGCAGCAATCCCCATGGTCACGTGATCAAAATTCAGATTTGCAACTGGTTCATATTTATGACAGTTGCAATGTCCTGGGATCATGTGATCCCCTTTTGCGATTTTTTGACAAGCAAAGCCAATGGGGAAGCCAGGTTCACTTAACAACCGTGTTACTAACTTAACAACTGCAGTGAATCACTTAACAATTGTGGCAAGAAATGAGGCAAACTGACTTAACAACTGTGTCAAAATTTTGGGCTTAATTATGGTCGTATGTTGAGCACTACCAGTATCAGTCCTATCCTTTAGTTATAATTTGAAGCATTACTGCAGTATCCCATTTGTAATCCCTGAATCAAATATACATCCCACAGTTAGTATCAATGCACAGTTTATGGGAAAGTACAGTATTGGTGAAAATTGAAACTGAACTGAGGTATATCAAATGTACTGGTGCCAATGTCCTTAAAGGTGAGGTTTATACCTGAATATTTGAAGTTCTTGCAACTCAATTATGGGGGAATACAGGTGAAACTCAAAAAATTAGAATATCATGCAAAAGTTCATTTATTTCAGTAATGCAACTTAAAAGGTGAAACTAATATATGAGATAGACTTATTACATGCAAAGCAAGATAGTTCAAGCCGTGATTTGTCATAATTGTGATGATGATGGCTTACAGCTCACGAAAACCCCAAATGCACAATCTCAGAAAATTAGAATATTGTGAAAAGGTTCAATATTCTAAGCTCAAAGTGTCCCACTCTAATCAGCTAATTAAGCCATAACACCTGCAAAGGGTTCCTGAGCCTTTAAATGGTCTCTCAGTCTGGTTCAGTAAGAATCACAATCATGGGAAAGACTGCTGACCTGACAGTTGTGCAGAAAACCATCATTGACACCCTCCATAAGGAGGGAAAGCCTCAAAAGGTAATTGCAAAAGAAGTTGGATGTTCCCAAAGTGCTGTATCAAAGCACATTAATAGAAAGTTATGTGGAAGGGAAAAGTGTGGAAGAAAAAGGTGCACAAGCAGCAGGGATGATCGCAGCCTGGAGAGGATTGTCAGGAAAAGGCCATTCAAAAGTGTTGGGGACTTTCACAAGGAGTGGACTGAGGCTGGAGTCAGTGTATCAAGAGCCACCATACACAGACGGATCCTGGACATGGGCTTCAAATGTCATCAAGCCGCTCCTGAACAATAACGTCAGAAGCGTCTTACCTGGGCTAAAGAAAAACAGAACTGATCTGTTGCTCAGTGGTCCAAAGACCTCTTTTCTGATGAGAGCAACTTTTGCATCTCATTTGGAAACCAAGGACCCAGAGTCTGGAGGAAGAATGGAGAGGCACACACTGCAAGATGCTTGAAGTCCAGTGTGAAGTTTCCACAGTCTGTGTTGATTTGGGGAGCCACTGTGCTTCATTAAGTCCATGTCATCTGCTGGTGTTGATCACTGTGCTTCATTAAGTCCAGGGTCAACACAGCCGTCTAGCAGGAGATTTTGGAGCACTTCATGCTTCCTTCTGCAGACGAGCTTTATGGGGATGCTGACTTCATTTTCCAGCAGGACTTGGCACCTGCCCACACTGCCAAAAGCACCAAAACCTGGTTCAATGACTGTGGGATTACTGTCATAAAATATGCATTCATAAAGGTGTACTGTGAAATTTCTTCCAGTCATTCTTCTAGATTCCAGGAGAATCTGTTCCATCACCATTAACCTTTGTTTCTTTTGCTACACATGCAACTTCCGAGCAAATAATGGCTGCAGCCACTTGTCATTTTTATTGTTTAAGAATGTTTTCTTGATCTCTATGGAACCCATTTGGTTTCCTATTTTTTAATTTCAAAAAAACTAAAAGAGAGTGATCTCTGGTGGGGCTTGAAACCTGTATGGTGTCAAGAAAGATGTCAATCCATTGGGGTCTCTGGCGACTGATGAATTAGTTGGGAAGGAACATCTTATTTTTGTATTATAACAGTTTTGTGTCTTTCTTAGGATAAAGAGGTGCGAGGAGTCTTTCTTAGATTATTTGCACAACTTTTCCAAGGATATAGATCTTGTCTTCAGCTAATCAGGATTCATTCAGAACCTGTGATAAACTTTCATAAGGTAACAATAAAGTTGAACCTAACAGCTTATAAATAATATTGTGGGTTTTTTTAAGGTTAAAGTAAGCAAAATACTATTAGTTCAATAAATACCTTGAGCTAGTCTAAAATTTTAAGATAATCCGGTTTCATAAAAACTTGTAAAATGTACAACTTTTTACTACGTTTCCCCCCCCCATGCTGTTTTAAAAGCTAAGATTATGTGCCAATAATATAATTGTACATGTAATTGTATCTCTTTCATTTTTGTGTAAATGGAACTTCTGAATATGTTAGCTGCAAATCCAGTAAACAGTTTTTTACTAAGTAAATGGATAATAAACAACTTGTAGAACATTTCTCCTTTCTACCAAAAAAAATATATCTAATTGATATATCTAGGATAAAGATCTGAAATGGAACCTAGGGGAAACAATAATCTCAAAATGTAATTCTTACATTTAGTTTCCATTTAACCAAAAATGCTGTTTCTTCATATTTCCTTTTTTTGCCTTTGAGTTGGTGTTGATTCTGATTGGTTGGTCCTGATGATTGCATGGAGTAGTCTTTACAGTTTTGTTGACAGAAGTTCAGGAGTGGGTTGCTGTTGCCTATTCACTTTTTACTAGGGATCTGAAGTACTGTGTTGGACAATACAGATATTTTAATAAAGGAACATGATAACTTTTCCTGTATTTATTTAAATCTTGTTGTATATTAAATAGTATAATTCAACAGTAGCTCTGGTTTAAAATCTAGGACTGTCTGAACACTTCCTGTGAATGCTGACTGTACTTCTGATCAGGGCAACTAACAATATCATTATTATCTCTACTCATAAGAATGTTGTGATTATATGTTATGATTTATAGTAACTGGAATGTTCTATATAGCGTTGCATCAGTTTGCAAAAAACGATTTAACCTTGTGACAATGTTTGTATATTTATTACTTGTTTTCCCAAGTTGGAGAGATATGTACCCAGTACAATAGGTCCAGAGTCTTTATTTATCATTTGGATACATGCCTGAATAGTTGAAGCTGCTACACCATCAGATTATATGCAAGTTGTCATTAGGGAGAGGAAAGAAGGAATCTGCGTTCAAATTAACTGTTTCTTGCAAATAATAATAGTCTGTTTGACTCTTGGTCTCACCTGATGCTAAAATTCCTGAGGTTAATGCTGATCTAATTGAGGTTTTTTTTACTTACTCCCAAAGTAATTTCAAGTCCCGTTCCGATACTTCGTTCTGCAATTGGTACAGATCAGAACCGCATTCCATAGATCTAATATTCTAGCAAACATGACACATTGCTTGTATGTTTGCCAAGTTAGGACCCAGCCAGATGCATCTTTAATGACTGAGACAATCTGAATTACCAAGATGCCCAATATGGTGGCAGGTAGTTAGTACTATCTCTCCTTCCAAAAGGATCTTCTGACTGACTGAAAATACACACTCACTTAGTGGAATTTTTCCTATCAAGCACAAGAAATTAAGGTTGCCTCTAAAGCTTTTTTTACCCTGTACTCAATTTTTCCATTGATATTTTTTATATTATCTGGAAAATGGTTTCTGCATATAGCTCTCCTATCAATTGTTATATTTGTTCTCAGAAATTTGAGGCTCCTGCACAGACACTGTGTCTCTGGTTCCAAATTTAACTCTCTTTTAGAGTCTGTGTTCTTCTTTCAGCTAACTACAAAGCCCAAATCTATGGCAATTGCCTTTTAATAATAACTTTAAAAATAGCTATTATTTCCTGTTTCTGAGCCAATAAGTTCTTTATTCCCCTTTATCTTGTTTGGCTTAGAAACAGTGGTTCTTACTCATAACTATATTCTGGGCACTATCAATTGGCACACCTACCATCTCCATTGATTTTTTTAATGACCTTTGTGATGTTCATCATGTAGTGTAGGTATTCAAGCTTGGAAGTGGCATTTGATTGAGTAGCTCTCTAATACTGCCATAGATCACCTGTTAAACTTACTGTTTTCTTAAGTGTGTGAGCACTGAGACCATAAAGAAAAATGGCAAGTTATCTGTAATTGCAGTTGGCTTACCAAGTTTCTCTCCAGTTATCAGTATTGTGGCCTATTTTTCACAAACTGCTATTTCAATATGATTAGGATTCTTGGTGTGATCTTGCAGGATCCAGTGTCCAACCAAAATCCTCAGCTTTTGCAAGTTCTGTAAAGGTGGTTTGTACTAATGCAAACATACAGTATGCTTGAATGCAAATATGAGCGCACAAAGAACCATGGTTAGCAACCTGCTGAGATGGTTAATATATTGTGCCTCCTAGCAGAGATTAGGAATGAATAATATGCTTCATGTTAGATGTTAATTCACGATCCAATGAATAGTTTTGTAAAATGAACCAGATGGCTCCAGCAAGTGAGCCAAAATGCATTCCATAAAGAGGAATAAACAAGAACGAAGAAATATCTGACCATGGGGGGAAACTCTTTTTGACCTCAACTGGATTGTGAATATGAAGCAAAACTCATCCACCAAGTTGTTTTTCCAATCGAAAATTTTCTTGGCTGTTTAGCAGCAATCTTGCCTCCACCCTTTGTTCCTTCTTCATTTGTCTCATCACATGTTCTGATGCCCTAGAGGAAGGTAAAGGGTTGTGTGTGTGTGTGGAGATGCCATGTGTTAGGTGAGCTAAGCACATTGGCTTGTATCTCAAGAGACAGAAGTCCAGATTTTAAAATTAAAAGGGAAAATTAAAATAAAGTTATCTAATCCAGTTTTTATATCATTTTAAGGTTTTTAATGATCACACAGCTGTTAAATACATTCTGTATGTAGCCATTTTATATCTTACCTTGCATAATTTAAATTTATTGAGACAAAGCAGATTTCTGAATGTATTTCAAGCATATTTGGAATGCACATTTGTGTGTATTCATGGAAAGTTTTCTGTTTTTACAGCAACCTTGATGTTATGGTAGTTCATGGTTTGGTTTTATTAAAAACATTAGACACACTGTTCTTTTTTGAATTTTACATTCCATTTAACCATCCTTTTTAACTTTGTGTTTCTCATAAAGTCTTAGTTATAATTTATTTTTATTTGCAGGCAGCCTTCTTAAGCCAACGGGGCTTAATTGAAAATGATTTCCTTACCAAAATTCTGAATGGAATGGCATTTGCAGGTTTTGTGTCAGAGAGAGGTCCTCCATATAGATCCTGCGATCTCTTTGATGAGGTAGAATATATACATGTGTGTGTGTGTGTGTGTGTGTGTGTGTGTGTGTGTGTGTGTGTAAAAAGTTAACCATGAAACTTGAGAGAAAATATTTAATTTATTTGAGGTTTTTTGTTTTGTTTTAGTTTTTAGTCACATTACTCTTGTAAAATATCAGCATGAATTAGCTTAAAAGAATAATTATGGACATGTATTAATTTTTGTTTTCAAAAGTTTTGGTTGAATATTTTTAAACATATTATTTTTCCTAAGAACAGATATCAGGGGGAATTGTCACTGGTAAGATAAATATATGCAGATAATTTGCAATATTTGTCATAATAAAAATTTTGTTGACCATTTTAAAAATTAAACACTGATATTATTATTTTTAGACTTTTTTTTTTTTTTACAAACTTTGAATAAAGTATGAAAATTTGTTAGGAGAGCAAACTTGGGAAATTTAACCAAGTGTTGTGAAAAGAGGGGTCATTAAGTATTAAAATATTTCTTTTACTATTAATATTCATTAAATATATTTGTCAATACTTCATTTGATACACCCAAAATGTCAAGTTTATTATTGTTTGAATTATTAACAATTATAGAACATGCATGCAAAATAGAAATGGGAATGAGTTATTAAAAATTGTATGTAAATATTTTTAGAGGCTATGTAAAAATAATATGTAAAAGCTTTTTATCAACAAAAATATGCTTTATTTTTAAAGCTGGTAGCATTTGAAGTAGAGCGAATTAAATCTGAGGAGAGCAATTCATTAAAAGTGTTAAAACATATCCGAGAACTCGCAGAGCAGCTATTGAAAAATGTGAGTGCAATGTATTTTTTCAATAGAATTCATTAATATTTAATTGTAAATAATTGAAGTTGAAGATGCACAAAGCTGCATGTAGTTATATACAATTACAAAGTTAAAAGTATAATTCTTAAGAAAACAATGGTCTTTTTTAATTATTACATTTGGTTACTGCTGTAGGCTGAAAAAGGATAGATGGAATGAAGATCTAACTAACTTTCAATAGACATGAAAAGTTTTTTTATTCAATTTAGAAGGCTGCCCAACTCCCAAATTACTCTGTTTTACATACTGTAACTATAAGAGAAGAAAACAATTAATGAAGAAAATAATAACAATTCCTCTTTCTGACATGACTTGATTGATCCTTGGGTTATGAAACCTTAAGGCCAAGTCATGTCAGAAAGAGGAATTGTTATTATTTTCTTCATTAATTGTTTTCTTCTCTTATAGTTACAGTATGTAAAACAGAGTAATTTGGGAGTTGGGCAGCCTTCTAAATTGAATAAAAAAACTTTTCATGTCTATTGAAAGTTAGTTAGATCTTCATTCCATCTATCCTTTTTCAGCCTACAGCAGTACTATTTCTTATTATAATAAGATTGACATTTTATTTAGTTATTACCTATCACTGTATAATATTGATGTACAGCAATTACGCTATTCCATTTTATGATTTAATTTTGATCATCAATAAGAGAAAGTGATTACATATCTTATCAATCGTTAAAACTGATTTCCATACAAAGTAATTAATTTTTGCTTTTATTTCAAGGCGCGTGTGCTCTTATCCTTCAATGCATTAATTATTAATAAAGAATCATTAATGGCACTTTATTAATACATCTTTTGGCAATCTTAAATAAATATGTTACATCCTTGAATACAGATACTCTTTATTTAATGTCTGCAGGAGAATCCAAATCCTCATATGACATTCCAAAAAGTTCCACGACCTACAGAAGGATCTCATCTACGAGTTCATGTACTTCCTTTCCCCAGGATTAATGAAAGTCAGGTTCAGGATCTAATTCAGGAAAATTTGATTAAAAGCCAAAGTGCGCCATCTGCTTCTCGCATTGAAAGGAAATGTGTGGTTCCTGCTGGCCCACCTGTTGGTATGAGAGTTATCTTGTGTTTTATTCAGTTAAGTCAAATTGCGAACTGTTTTGAAACCGACCATTCAAGACCTTGGTAACATTCTGAGAAATAAAAAAGGGTGGTGCCAATGTTTGTTTGTTTTTAAAGGGGGTTTGAGAATAGAAACAATAGGCCTCCAGGATCAATGACAACCATTCTCAACCTTAAAAGTTCTAAAAATGATCCTAATCTCCATGGGAAGAAATTTTTAAGACATTATTGGGGGGTTTGGAGATAGGATGGGATTGGTTTCCAAATATGTAGAAATCCTACTTTTTCATTAATCAAGAGATTAATTTCTAGAAATACCCTGAACCAGCTGGAATACCCAGATTAGTGTGATCGAGGGGAGAAAGGAAGTTTTCGAATTGGCAGGCTTTGCGCAAATTTCTTTATCTTCTATAACCTTCCATTCTTATTGGAGAAACCCAAACTGCAAGCAACGGATTAAAACTTTACCAGAAACTAGATTTTACTTTTCTATTTTTTTATTTGGAACAAAAAGCAAAACAAAACCTGTCAAACAAATCTCATCACCAAAGTTAAACAATCCTGCTTCTAAATTTCAATGGTAGTCTTTTGATTCTGGTGCATCATATTTTTCATAGATTCCCCCACCCACCCAATCCCAATGTATATCTGTATGTATTGATTAAATTTCTATGCCACCCTTCTCACTGATACAGTGACTCTGGGTTGCCCACAAATAATAAAAATAAAGTGTTAGAAAACAATTAAAATTAGAAAAATAGAACAGAAAAGCTAAAAACCAAGATGATGGGTGACCTAGGGGTGAGGATCTTCTCTATCCAATCAGCTATCCCCAACATAGTAGACCCTTGTTGGAGCCCCAGGCCAAGTGACAGAGACAAATTCTCCCAGAAGGCTGGGAGTGTGTGGGCAGATCTCACCTCCCATGAGAGAATATTCCAGAGGACAGGAGCAACAGCAGAAACAGGCTGCTCTCTTGGACCCCACCAACTGAAAACCTTTGGTTGATGGGATCTAAAGTAGGCCCTTTCTGCTGAATAAGTGGGGTCGGCTAGTCCCATCAGAATGAGAAAATGAGATTAGGTGAGATGGTTCTTCAGATACAAATATAGGTATATAGACTTTATACCAACAGTATGTATTTTATTTGTATAAAATGCTACAAAGTATCTATTTCGATTTCCCATTTAACTAGGACCTTGAAAGCTGTTTGATATGTATAATCATATCAATTCCTAAGGTTAGGATTTCATATATTAATACATAATATATTTGAGTTCTTCCTTATATACTGTGACGAGACACAAGATAACAATTGTGATGAGCTTCCTGAATTTTTGCCAAGTAAGTATTGCTCCAAGATGTGAAATGCCCTACATAGAGCCTTCAAATATTAAGAAGCAGGCAACTCTAATGTGACGTTCTCACAGAGAAACTCTTGCATACAATAATTTGTCCTTATCACTTTTAATATTGCTTTTTGAAATTAGATGTATCCTTTACAGGTAATCCTTGACTTCTAACCAAAGTTGAGCCCAACATTTTTTTTTGTAAAAAGTTTTTTATGTTTTATATTTCAAAAACATCTCTTTTAGCGAACACCATGGTTCCAGGTTTTCACATTTCCATACAAACATGACCTTAGTTACATATTCATCTTTCACATTTAGTTTCATATATTTTCTATAAATTTTCTCAGATATTCTTATATTCTTCAAATTTTATTGAACCCGATATTTTGTTATTAAGTGAGACACTTGTTAAATGAGTTTTGACTCATTTTACAATCTTTCCTGCCACAGTTGTTAAGTGAATCACTGCAGTTGTTAAGTCACACGGTTGTTAAGTGAATCTGGCTTCCCCATTGACTTGGCTTGTCAGAAGGTCACAAAAGGTGATCACATGACCCCAGGAAATTGCAAACATCATAAATATAAGTCAGTTGCCAAGTGTCCAAATTTTAATTACATGACCATGTGGATGCTGAAATGGTCATAAGTGTAAAAAATGGTCCTAAGTCACTTTTTTAGTGCTGTTATAACTTTGAACAGTCACCAAATAAATGGTTGCATTATATTCCTCTTCTCTTGCTCTGGAAAGTAAGACTAATGCAAATTTTTATACTACCAAAATTTATATGGAATTTGTAATGAAATTTTAGAAATTTAGAAATTTTGTAATGCATATTTTTTAGACTCTGAAATCCTATTTCTTACCAATTTACAGTTTTTCTTTATAACAGACAATGTCTGAAATCCTGTTAATATAATAATATATAAATCCATATACAGTAAGATTATATATTAAGAATTAGTACTGGAAACATCTTTGTATCTGTTCTTGTGTGCATCAATGAGAACACGTGTACAAAATAAAACCTTGGTATGTAGAAACCATCTTAGGAATGTTTCTATTATAATAATCTGTTAGTGATGGTAGTTTTAAAATAAATGGCCTCACATATGTTTCTATTTCTTTTTTCTAGTTTCCATAGTAGAAAAGTCAAGCACAGTTTTTAACAGTGCACAAAGACTGGAAGTTGTTAGAAACTGCATCTCTTTTATATTTGAAAATAAACTTTTGGAGACTGAAAAGGTAATAGGATTTGTTAAATTGTTTGAGGGGCTTTTCCAAGTTAAAACATTCCATATATGTTAAGAGATGAGCTCTTTCTTGTCCTTTCAAACGTAACTCTACTTTTGTATATCTGTTACCCTTTTCAGTTCGTACTGCAAGTGTTTGAGATCAAAGAAATGTACTGTCTGTGAAGAAATAAGCAAAATTATTTGGCACTGCAGTCTCACCTCCATTTTTTTTACTACCCCTTCTACTGAACCATTTTGTTTAGTTATTAGTCATTTAATAATGAGATATATGTTCCCTGCTTTGTATTTTTCTCTTAAATGAAATGCAAGCTCCTTGCCCAACCTTGAATGCTTCATTTTCTACTTGAAGAGCAGTTGAGGACCAAGCTAATTTGCCGCTTAGATTGTTTTTTTTAAAGACAACTTTTAAAGTTTTTTTTTAATTTTGCTAATTTTTTTTAATTGTGGCTAATTGTACAACATTTTGCCCTTTCATAACAATCCTCAAACATATGGGGAAAAATGTGGTTTCCAGTCTTTACTTTTCCAGTATATTTTTTGTGCTTAGGGCATAACTAAGACCTTGCTTGATAATTGCTTGATTAATTCTACACTATCTGCTTTATTATTTAAAGTCATGTTTAATTATGAAATAAACTATCCAGATACAAAAATCAGAATTCAGTCAGTAGTTTAATAAGGACAATTCATATCAAGATTGCTGGTGGCGCTTATTTAGTAGTAATACTACAGAATATTAGCAGAATATTAATAGTAGTAGTAATACTACAGAATATTAGCAGAAAAGTGTAATTTAAAGTTGGGATTCTTTTAACTTCTTACTTTTGCTAGCATTCTTGTCTTTAGACCTTGCCTGCTGCACTGAGAGCCCTCAAAGGAAAAGCAGCTCGCCAATGTTTGACTCAGGAATTAAGCCTCCACGTTCAGCAAAATCGTGCAATTCTGGATCATCAGCAGTTTGATTACATAATACGAATGATGAACTGTACTTTGCAGGTACATGCACTTAGCCTTATTTTGGTTTCTTTGTGGAATTTCTAGCTTGCTCTGTGTTTTTTGCTATATCTAAACTATAAATTATATTTATGTTTTTATTTGGAGTTCCTTGTTCTTTTCCTTCTGCTGTTTTGTTCCTTTATTTGCTTTTGGATGGGGTGTTTTTTTGGACAATTATTATGAAACTATTCCTTCCATCAGCAGAGGATCCATGTTATCTTTTGAAGGGGGCAATTGCCTCACACTCAAAATTTTCCTTAAGAAATGCAGTTGTCACATTTCATGTTTTGGTTGCAGTTAAGCACCTCATACAAGAATACTTGTCTAGGACTTCCGGTTTGAGATTCTTCGGTGACAGACCGAAACCTCGTTTCTGCGAGGCTTCGATCCGTGCTCGCCGCTGGAGCGCCCCGAGCCGGCTGGTTTCAGGGCTAAGCCACCCCGTAGAGGTGGTGAAGAGGGGGGAGACTGCCTGCAGGGTTGAGGAGAGCCGCATCTCTCCTCCCCAGCTGGCCATTACTCCCTTTCCCGGAGGCGGTGTAGCGGTGGTCAGAAATGGCCACCACAAAGAAGAACTCGACCAGAAAAGAATGTGCAGGAGGAAGATAAGAAGAGAAAGTTTTGGTTGACTGGGTCAAACAGCAAAAGCAACAAATAAGGTACCCTGGAATTGAAACTATTAAAAAAAACCAATAACATTGTTCCCTAAAAAGATTTTTAAGCTGCGAAGGAGAGAGAAAAGGGAAAAGATTTGGGGGTTTTTTTCTCCTTTTCCTATACTGACAGCTAAGAGACTTAAGCAAGAAATTGGGAAAAAAATCCACTTTGACATTAATAGGCATTTAATGCTGAAAATAAAAAGTCAAAGGGATAACAAAGATTTCTGAATAATCAAAAGCTTTTGAAAACAGGAAAGGAGAGAAAAAGAATAAAAGGGCAGGATCTGGAAGGGAGAAGACTGCCTGGAATTAAAAAGAACTTACAGCAAAATCTCAACAAGACTTCCAAAAGATACATTTTAACTGAAATATCGCAACAAAAACACCAGGAAGAGAAAGTGGAAAAAGAAATAAGAAGAAATAATTTGGGACTATTTGGATTACTTGATGATTTCTGGATTTTTTGGTTATTGTATTTGAATGACTAAAATCAATTGGGTGGTTGTTTAAAACTGTTTAAAATGGCTCTACTTTTAGAAGAACTGAAAATGGAACTTAAAAAGTACAAAGAAGATGCACAAGAAGGGAGAGGTTCTTTTGGCTTCGTATTTCAATTTTTAGAAATGGAGATTTGGAATTATGAGAAACAACAAGAAATGCCTGCAGAACAAGAAGTTTGCAACAAAGAAGAAGCCATCTTTAGTGAACAAGTATTCTTAGGTGGGGGGGGGGAAAAAGAAAAGGGGGGAAAGAGAATGAAAAATTTAAGATTGGGAAAAACAACTCCAAAAAAAAAAATAGAGTGAAAAATAAGTATACAATCAGAAAGCAACAGAAGAGGGAAATGCAGAAGAGAGAATTAGAAGTAGAGAGGCAAGGGGGTAAAAAGGGGAGGGAGAAGAAGAGAGGGAAGAAAGAAAGGAAAAGAAGTTATAAAGGACAGAAACAAAATATAGAGAAACAGGGCCTATTTAGAGATAATGGGTGAAAATTTAATGAAAAAGGGATTCTGCAAAGGTACATAAGATAGTATTGTTATATTAGAAACAAATAATTTTAGAAAATATGAAACAATGTATGATTTAAATGTTTGATAAAATAGCTATCGTAATTCAGTGGAATGCTTGTCAATAAATAAATGTAACAAAATGAATATTTAATGATTTACAAAACATATGTGAAGAGAAATAAGGGAAAAATTAATTATGGAGATTATATGTGTCTTTAAGGAAGTATGATATTTAATTAAAAAGAAGTGTTAAAGGTGCTAAGATTTTAATGATTATTAATGATAGAACTGAATTGGAATGGAATGAGGGTTTATACATACATATATTTATAATCTTTTTTTAAGAATATACGGTGTATTATAAGAATGTACCAGCAGAATTCGATTGGAAGTTTTGTATTATGTATTATATTGAAGGTCATAACCTTAAGGTATATATTGAAGTTTAAATAAGAGTTGAATGGATGTAATTAAAAGATATAAAAGTGTCATTCTCCAATTAGTAACTACAGGAGAAAATTTGTTTAATGAGAAAAGATAATATGAAATTGAAACAGAACAGACGAAAGTATAAATATAATGATTTGAATTGAGATGCGATAATCAAAATAAAATTGAGAAAATTAAAAGAGGGGAAAAACTATATAGAAAATGTAGAATAGTATAAGATATGGACTAGAATACAAAAAGGAGCATGAAATTGAGTTTTGTATCTGTATAAAGAAGTTCAACCCGGGACATTTTCAAAAAAGATGTTTTACTTTTATTTTGTATGTGTGAAAACCCAAATAAAACTTTATTAAAAAAAAGAATGCTTGTCTAGTTGTTACCATCTTTACCATCTTTCTTTCATTCACCTGCATCTTTTTCTCCCGGTGCTCAGCTGCATTGTTAGTCTGCCTTTACTTCACGAGTGTCAAACTCACAGCATCATGTTGCCTTCATGTGATGTTTTGTGATGTTTTTTTCCCTTTGCAGAGCTGGGGTGGTGTGGCTTGCACATGATGCAGACGGCCTGCAGGCTGCCAGTTTGACATCCCTGCTTTACTTGATGAAAGCAATCGCCTTTTCTTTCTCTTAAGGCGACAGAATTCATGAAAAGAACACTGTCAGACCTTTGGAAGCATGGAAGCAGTGAAGATACTGAAGTGGCAAAGGCCCAGGCCTATTGCTATTCCAGTATTGTGTTGCTCATACATCTATAAAGGCAGCCTTCAATTGATTAAGTATCTATTTTTATATGTTGAAGCATTTTTTCCAATTAAATTGGTTTATTGCAACCTTTATTGGTTGGCTAGCACAGGAACCGTAAATTCCTGGAAAATTACTGGAATAGTTTGGGAACCTACTGTACTGTGGGAATGAAAATCATTGTTCTCTTCTGCTTTTTAAAGTGATGATTGTTGTTATTTGTAATTAGTGATTGAAGACACATCCTACCTCATCACCATCTGTAAAATAACTATTCAGATAATTGTTTTGATTGCTTTAGGACCTGAACACTTGTTTATGCAATAGAAGAAAACATTTTACGGGAGAACTAAATCTCTAGCATGGCACTAAGGGAGAAAATTTAGTTGAAATGAATCATTTCATTAGTTGAAATGAATCATTATGTTAGTGACATATGAGCATTATTTTTCCATACAAGAAAGGCTTCTTCTTTCAATCTTTTTCCAAGATTGACTTTATGACTGCAATTTTCTGAAAGTTACAATCATTGTCTTCTTTCATAATTATTTATTATTTAAATTGGGAATAATTAATGGATACAAATTGCATTTGAAAATATGTTTATAAATAAAGAAATCTAATATGAAAATTACAACAGGATTTTAAAAACTTCTGTATTTGAAAATACAGTCAAAAAATTGAAAAATCCATATAGTTGGTATCAAGATCATACTTTTTCCTCTTTTGAAATTAATAAAAAATGAACCTACCTATGTTGGAAATTTTATATATAAGAAGTGGAGGTCAGTAAAATTTTATTTTGAAATAAAGTCAGTGTGTCAAACAGTATTAACAAAATCTATAAAATATAAGGATCTGAACAAGTATAATTCAGATTTCCTTAATAAAAATATTTTGAAGAGTAATTGGGGTTCTTCACATTTAAAGTGCTTAAAAGCACCATAAGCAGAGATGTAAATTATTTGAGCTAGTTTTAAATGCTGCAAATATTATGTCTTCAAATTCTAAAATGTTTGTGTTCAGCAAACAAATTATGGCATAACTTTTAATGCCTATTATCTCTTTGATAACTAAAGTGAACCCTTTGGTTTCACTTGGACAGGTACTGCAAAAATGAAAGGGAGGCTGCTACTATAAGAGACTTTCCAGACTATTAGTTTTCTATTTGTGACCATTATTTGTTTTCCATAATCTTCTGTATTTTTTTCTGAGAACATATTCTTTAATGGGCAAAAAATGAAAGCTGCACAAACATTATAGTTGATAGCAATTGATAGCAATAGCAATAGCACTTAGACTTATACACTGCTTCACAGTGCTTTACAGCCTTCTCTAAGCAGTTTACAGAATCAGCATATTGTCCCCAACAACCTGGGTCCACAAGCAGCCTATCTGCCTGGAAACATCCAGAGGCCATTGGTGATGTCTTACTGAACAACCAATGAGTTACTTTTTTCAATCTCCAGTATTATTATACCATAATTAAAGCTCCATTTTAGCAACAGCAAAATAATAGTGTTCAATATATAATATTATGAGTCACCTAATGATAAAACGTTAAAATGCACTCAGTACATTTATTAGTTTTCATTTACCTTTATTTATGCCAATACAGTAAAAAGATAATGAGCATGGGAATTGAGCATATCTCTGTCTAATAAACTATGATTCACAGCTCCCTGAAAATCAATCTTTGTAAAAAAAAAATGTTTGAACTATAAAAATTAATGTGCCGTAACAGGATTTACATGAAAGAGAATATAATAGTACATAAACCAGTAACCTATAAATGTGAAGAACTTAGGTAGATTTAGTATATATGCGAACTACAGATGACTTTAATGCAAAAAAGCATTTTAAGCTAAAGAGCAAGCCAAATAAAACTGGCAATGGTATAGAATTGCCATTTTTTCCCCATCATATAATTGTAAACTACAATCCAGTATTATCTTTAGACTATCTAGTCTCAAAAACTCTGAGTAGTATACTGAATAATAACATAAAGGGCAAAATAGTTAAATACTTGAAAAATAAAATGTCAAAAATTATCTCTTCTGTTTCTGAAAATTTCTTCCCACAAATTCTTTATTTTTACACAAGGGATATTTTGTGGCACTTTCCCAAACAAAGCTCACCGC